TTTTATTACATTTTACCGCAGGGGTTATTACAATTTGCCGCAGTTTCAGTTATTACAATTTGCCGCAGTTTTATTACAATTTACCGCGGCTCAGTTATTACAATTTACCGCGTTTTTATTACAATTTACCGCGGTATTACATTTTACCGCGGTGTTATTACAATTTGCCGCAGTTTATTACATTTTACCGCGTTATTACAATTTACGTCGTAACATTCCATCGACCATAGGTTTCACACGAGTTACATGTTTTCATGTGCTTGTGTGTGTGTTTGTATTATCTGGTAGCTGGTTGGTTCAAGCAATGTGTACATAATACCACCGTGGTGTAACTCATAGCGACTTAATATTCTAGTTTAACCTCCAAGACATAATGCATATACACTGACGTGTGCTTATTTCATGGAAAGACGTTTTAGGGGATTTAGACATTGAAATAGGATAATTAACTTTCAGATAACTACTTGATGATACATTTCACGAAATTTGAAATACACGGAAATAATACTACAAGAAATGAGAACTACTTGGAGCCACATATGTATTTCATACTGAATGTTCGATAAATCCGACTTGACCATCATACTTGTCCTTGTCCTAGACATCGGAAAGCAATCGCTCCATATCGTGCATGTCATGCAAACAAGACATATTATGTACATTTTATATGTATATTTACATGTATCGAAATTCAGTTCGTCTTGTCAGTACAATTTAAGCTTATTTTTAACTAATGGGACTATAAACCGAATTCGAGAATTCAACACATCCTGTTCGACACATTCAGGTTAAAAGACTGATACATATAGTGTAGTCAGAGTTTATTAGGAGGTCTTCACAGCCGGGGTTTCGACAACTGTGAGACAACGGGATCAACTATAAAGTCAATGTGGTCGAAAAGACAAACGTCAAGAGTGAAATATAGTTACCAGCAGCAATGTAGGGCTCCTTGGCTTTAATACAATCCAGCAACTTGAACCTGTGATGTAGATGTTGAAAGTAGTAATGGCTACAGTTAATAGTGATCATATCATTGCCAGTAATGGGAAATGCGTCATTCGTTAACTTTGAATACTTATGGTCCAGGGTTAGATACAAAGGATTGTGTAGTATGGTTTGGATAATGACACCAGTGGCTGTGGAAAGTGACTACAACCAAATGATGAGAATTGTGATTCACTGTGATTCACATTATATGGATCGAAACGTAAGTCTATCTTAAGTAACAAAAGAAACGTTTCAAGTACTCTAATTTCAACAACATATCGAAAAAATACCAGTTACCAATTACCTTATTGACTGAGCATATTTAAATTGCTAACGAGCTCATGATGAATCTACAAAACTTCAGTCCACCAGCAAAAACATCGACCCAGTCTAATTAGATATAAGACGTCAGTGCGAATCTCATCCATTGATCAATTGAAGATATTTACTTTCGTTGTTCATCTGGTGTAAAATCGACCAAACATATTCATACCCGTTCCAGCTGAATGTTCATTACTACGGTACGACATTCCAAATTAATTGATTTCTTGAATTACTACCAACAGAATTAATAACAACTATTTCTGATTCAATGACAAGTTTTATTATCTTGCCTTCAAGCACTTCAAAATGTTACTTCAAGTCACCCTATTATCCTGGACACTTTCTACTGGCAAATGTGACATCATCCTCTGCTGGTTTGCCAGGTCACGTCGGCATAACAGGTAACACAAAGGCCGATGCTGCAGCTAAAGCAGCTCTTGACAAGCCCTTATCTCCACTGCTGATCCTGTACAGTGACTTGAAACACACTATCAAAAGTTATAGTCGGGACCTCAAGTAGGAAAAAATAAACTTCATGAATTGAAACAAACAATCGGTTATACCTGAGACGTCATGAGGAAGTTTTACGACGACTGACAGTCGGTGTACTCATGAATATCTGCTGAAAACGAATAATGCCTACCCCACAAAAACAGCACCTGTATTTCTGGCGATGAAGTGTGTTGGAATTCCAAATAGAGGGATGTCGGATTAAAGAGAGTTTCTTATATGATATCATATAGGGACAAATTCGGCACCAAATATAGATGTCGGTTTACAGGGAATGTCGGATTAGAGAGGATCCACTGTAAATCTATTTGCCCGTTTGACAACTGGCGCGAACCCAACCGTCACTTTCGGCAGCTGTTGCCGGGAGAAGCGATGGTGTGAGACAGTCATGACATAACATTGCGTCACTGCCGAGAACGCCCACCTTCTATGCATTGTCTGCCAATAGAGGTGCCCGACAAGTCATGATCAACATTAAGGTGTTAGTAGATACTGCTCTTGAGCCATATCAGCTTATATTTCAACGGTTGCAGCGTTGAAATGTTGACCTGAGGCGATAGGGTGCTGTATTTTCTATAGCCCATATTAATATCCATTACTCTGTTTGCATCATCTTGTCGCAACAGACAGTGTGAATTCACAACAAGTAAGATATTTCTATAGTCAGTGCACGTATTAATTACACTGTTACTATCAAGCTGTCACAGCTGAACTTCTGAACACAAGAGCAAGCAAATATACATCTATAAACAGGTCACTTATAACCATTAACCCAGTTGATAAAAAAGTGTATTTGCTCTTTCGCCATTGGAAAGCCAGCGAGTGGGGGATGTTGGTAGAATTTACGTACGCTTCCATCAGCTATCTCAGTTACATCTAACAATCATGAAAATTAAAAAAACAGTGATACTTTTAACATGCACTATAGAACAAAAAATGATCAGCAAACATTTGAGATACATACTGCAAATTTTCATTGTGCTCTGTAGAGAACCGATGAAGATAGCAACTACAGTGAGGAAAATAGAATTTCACTTGTCTCTCTGTTCTCTTTGGAGATACATTACTGTAATGGGTAGATATAATCGGCAACATGCAAAGGTAATTTTTTGTTGAAATCGGACGGCTTGCCTCATAGTTACGGGTGTTTGAAGTGCATTTAAATGATAGAAACCGTTAAAATCGGAACCAGAACACGTTTTCGACACGCGAGCAGATCTTCCAAATACAGCCGGGGTCGCTGGGGTCATGTACCTTTTTAAGAAGTTCTGGAGACAAAATAGTGCCGTCTTTAACAGGTTTGAAGCTCCGTTGTCCTTGGGTCTACAGGCAAAGCAATTAGTGTTCTGGAATTGCCAGGGATTCAGCTATCAAATGCACACACATGACATACGGAAAAGCCTACCCGTCAAAAACGTGAAATTTCCTTAAATCCAATATGGCGACCAAACGGTGCCTCCTAGCCCCATGGGTCTTGCAGTTGAAATTGAAGGTAATCGAATACAAGAGCTGCTCCAGAAATTTGGTTGTCATTGGACTTGCGGAGATTATTGCTTTGGAAATTGAATTTTTTAAATTGATTTGAGTTATCTCCCCTTTGCTATTAGGCCTAGAGCCTTGAGATTTTTGCAGATACAACTTCACCACTGTTGGCACCTTGGTGATTTTTTTCAAGCGATTCTGTTCAGCGGTGCTTTTTGTACGAGTGGTACAAAATACGGCATAATAATAAATAGTAAAAGCATTAACGATTAAAATAGGTCTCCTGCTTTGCAGCAAGGAGCCCTAATGAAACGAACAGAATGTATATTGTTTATTTAACGTCGTTTACAGCAGCATTCAATATGATGAGACAGTGAAGTGATTGACATCATCGGCATCGATCTGGACAACCCTGTCAGTGAATCTATTGCCTTTAATGACAAGTAGGGGTTACTGAAGACCAATCGATCTGGACAACCATGTCAGTGAATCTATTGCCTTTAATGACAAGTATAGGTTACTGAAGACCAATCGATCTGGACAACCATGTCAGTGAATCTATTGCCTTTAATTACAAGTATGGGTTACTGAAGACCAATCGATCTGGACAACCCTGTCAGTGAATCTATTGCCTTTAATGACAAGTATGGGTTACTGAAGACCAATCGATCTGGACAACCATGCCAGTGAATCTATTGCCTTTAATGACAAGTATGGGTTACTGAAGACCAATCGATCTGGACAACCATGTCAGTGAATCTATTGCCTTTAATGACAAGTATGGGTTACTGAAGACCAATCGATCTGGACAACCATGTCAGTGAAACTATTGCCTTTAATGACAAGTATTGGTTACTGAAGACCAATCGATCTGGACAACCATGTCAGTGAATGTATTGCCTTTAATGACAAGTATAGGTTATTGAAGACCAATCGATCTTGACAACCATGTCAGTGAATCTATTGCCTTTAATGACAAGTAGGGGTTACTGAAGACCAATCAATCTGGACAACCATGTCAGTGAATCTATTGCCTTTAATGACAAGTATGGGTTACTGCAGACCAATCGATCTGGACAACCATGTCAGTGAACCTATTGCCTTTAGTGACAAGTATGGGTTACTGAAGACCAATCGATCTGGACAACCATGTCAGTGAATCTATTGCCTTTAATGACAAGTATGGGTTACTGAAGACCAATCGATCTGGACAACCATGTCAGTGAATCTATTGCCTTTAATGGCAAGTATGGGTTACTGAAGACCAATTCTTCAAGAATTACCGTGCATAAGCACTCGCAGATACTAGTACAACAAGTGCGACTTCGTCTCTTAACAACGAATGTAGGACGTGCTCACGCTCTGTATCCACCTGGGTCATGACATGCGCGCCGTATACATTACCACGGCTCCTTGCAACATCTACCCTGATGAATTAGATATAATTTACCCGTGTTTCTAGCTGTACTTTGCCTGCACATGCGAACATTGCTGCGCATGCTTGGCTTCACCCGGACAAATGGTAAACATCTATTTCAACGATAATACCAGCTACTAGTGGTAGCATTCATTATTGTAGGCAAGTAAACGAACAATAGAGCGTTATGTAAGAAGCATGCTGTCATAAACATCTCACCTGAGCGACAGTCCCTTTTGTCCCATTAAATTCACGTTACGGTTGTGTACACAGCTGAACAGGTTCGTAATCTAGAACCCCTTCCTGGTCTGTGCGGCAGTGTGTCGCAATGGCTGTGAGAGACGGTGTTGTGATTTTGCTTGCTAGTTTCAGCCTCGTTACAGGTAAGTATTTTCTTAGTATATGTGTTTCAGCGCCAATTGAGGGCATCATATACCTGTCAGTATTTCTAAACTGTTAGTATTTCTAAACGGGGTACCTACACAGAACGGTCCAGACAACATTGGCGTAGATGAATTGGTACCTTAATATATCGTTGTATCATGCCGGATGATCCGAATACTGATGGGTGTAATTCAGAAGAGCAACATTATCCCAGCGATATTCAAACTATTTGTGAAGGTTTATGTTGATATATATAGATTCTATGAGTGTAGCATGATCACATTCGGCAAGTAAGCTGGGTAGAAAACATATAAAAGTTTATCAAAATATGTCGAAGCTCTATCAATATTATAACCCAGTTTAGAACTTCTGTGCATCATCGACACTTATGTTTGTTTTTCGATTCATCAGCAATGAATGTATGCAGACAGGTAGTCGTATACTGTCAGAACCTACTTCACAATGCATTAAGATGTATTATGCAAATATACCAGGCAAGTTAATATGACCTGACAATACTCAAGAGGCAGGTCACCATAACATTCACAACGGCTGGCTGGCTTCAGTGAACCTGGCAGATATACATTGCCGCGGGTATGTGGATGTCTTAAACAGAGTAATATACTTCCTGGTGTAGGGTATCAGGACAGGGTATTGAAACGGTTGAGAGCAGCTATGTCCTTATGACAAAGTACTTGTGTTTGGCTCTCCCGAGGATTTGACATGTTATTGCCGGCGTATGTCTCATCATTGTAAAGATATGAAGCAAGCGATTTTTTGTGATACCTGTAATCCCATACATGTAACGCCATGACTGCATAAAACAGAATGTAACACATCATCAGTAGATTGGAACGAATGAAACGAGTTCGGCCGTAGCCAGGGCATTTCCTGTATCTACCAGCATCGTCAATTCGACCTCAATAGGACCGTCAACTGCACGTAACAGAATTGTGTGACACCAACTGAAATTTGTATGTAAAAGAAACCAGTCGGTACAAGGAAATGATATCAATGGCAACATACATACATACTTACATATATATATATATATATATATATATATATATGTATGTATGTATGTATGTATGTACGTATGTATATATATATATATATATATATATCACCCAAAATTACTTCCCATGTACCACTTGCTTGACAACAACATTAGAATCTATGTCGAAACGTCGCCTATACAGAATAAAGAAGTTGTACATCCATAAAGATAGTCCTTCATCTACCCAACTTCTAGAATGCCAATCATACGTTATAGCTTTAAAGTCAGTGATGATTATCTTTACATCGCTGTGAAAGTTTCAATCTTCCAAAACAGGCCTGGACTGGGAATTCAGGGTGATTGTCACACAACTACTGGTCTTATTGTAATGCTAAATGTTATGTAAGATAACCAAGGCCAGAGTTATGCACCCTTTATATTCGTAAAAAAATCCTCAAAGACTTTATTCAACTCTCTGAACCAGCCTACGGAATATTCTGATAAATTTCATGACCAATCTTGTCTCTGAGTGTGAATATAGTCACCAGAAAAAATTTAGAGAGACGGCAAACACTTTCACATTGGTAAGAAATCTGCTACAAGCAGAGTCGACTTTCCAATTCTGACTATGTCATGAGTATGTGTTTGTTGACGGAGCATTCAGCAGTATTACAGCTGTGCGACGTGATCTGTAAACAATCGAGCCTGGGCAAGAGAATCCAATGATTGAAACCATGAGAGACATGGCTGAGCATGTGTTTCTGAATCACTATCAAATAATGTTGATATTAGGTGTTCACAAAAAGGTGAACGTACCTATCCTACCGGTTGCACCGGTCATAAATAAAATGATTGAAAAAACATCCTATGAAAAACATTAAGGAACATTATGGTAGAAGTCAAACTCGGGAAATGCATCGGAACGACTGGTTATGTGCATGTCTTCAAACTATTCTGTCAGAAAGAATGCAAATACTCAATGTTTTCGGTCCATTCATACATTTTCTTCAGGCACGTCAGCTTTTGTTTTCGTATTAATCACGAACGATGGAAAAAACATTCAGAATTGTGAAATAGTATGTGGGAGAAGGTGTCTTCCTGTGTAAGGGTAGGGGTGATATAAAAAGATGAGCACGTCAGTTTGGGGTTTCTGGTTTAGCGACACAACCAGTTATTCCCAAAATATTTAACAGCGGTCTTCAAAGAATCGCACACATCCCAGACTACAGTCAAGAAATAGGCATTGTTGGCGCCATGTATGTCGTCGGGGTCCGAAGGTAATCAACCATATATTTTAGCCTGACCTGCACATCCATTTAGTCGCCTCGTTCGACTAGCATAGGCACTCTACTCTGAACCTGAATTCCCGAGGGGGATGTTTATGTATAAATAGCTAGTAACAACCTGTCGACTGAGAGGAATTTACGTTACTGATGAGGTAGATGATATGACACTGCAGACGAAGTAACATTCGTTGACTACAACTTAACAGGGCACCAGCAAATCAGTGTCAGATTGTAACCTGTAAATTCAGTTTTCGAAAAATGCCGATACACATGAAATACAAAAAACAAGGAACACGTTTGAAAGAACATATATTTTAAGAATACTCTTACCATCGTGTTTAAATTTTATAAACAGACGTGAAACACGGCAGTACAATCTAGCTTATGGAAAAACACGAACACACGTCCTCAAAATGTTACAGAGCAATGGGATATTGTATAACCGTTTAACATTTCACACCACGTTTGTACACGTGACCACTTGTTCCAAACTATTTTTAAGGGCTGAATTGTAAATGACACTGCTGAAAACTGAAAACAACTTCGAATAATACTGTATATGTGAAATACATACCTTGACACGAGTTGTTATCATTCTTTACGTGGAACTTCGTCTCATTTATCAGGTACTGCTACAAACGTTGCCCTGAATAAACCCGCATTGATGAGTTCAGCCTTGGACGGAAATCATCCTGCCAGCAAAGCTGTCGATGGAGACACAAGTGCAGAACATCAAATATATGTAGCCCACACCGGGACAGGTCAAACTATTGCCTGGTGGAAGGTGGATCTGCAGACACAAGTACAATCAGCACGGATTATCCTGTACTTCAGAACAAACTGTACGTACAGACTAATTACGTAATTCATATGAAACAGAACCACTATAAGAATTGCAAACCATATTCTGACGTTTTCCTGGATTCATGCACTGAAATCCATCTTAATGTCGACCACTGTACTATAGTTAAAAACGAGGCTGATTTCTATTTTCAGTTCATGCAAAAAGCCATCAACTTACGATTATGACGTTTACATTTCCCAACTGCTGATTTTCTTTTGTGGCATATTCATTTCTCAGAAAAACAGCGTGTCTACAACCTAACTTTTCCTTCACGATGATGTAAGTATATTTCGGCAGACATACCTTCTAAATTTACAAAATATCAACACCTCCTCTTTCTATTCATGGTCTAGCATGTGACTCTGAGTATTAACTCACCCATGTCCTAGCCAGTAGAATATGTCGATACTATAATTAAGTAGAGGTCACGAGACAGCGGCCACTGTTCACCGGTTGTCAAATCAAGGTGACGATATGTCAGAGAAAGAGAAAAAAAAAGAAGAAGAAGAATGGTGCTGGCAAGGCAAGACCCATAACTGTGAGTTGGGACTGAGATTCTAACCCCAAATAATAGGTTTTTCTCAGAGACTGCCTAATGGTTCGAGTGCCTACTGGTTCAAGCGTTCGCTCGTCACGCTGAGGACTCGGGATCGATGCCCCACATGGGTACAATGAATGAAGCTCATTTATGGTGTCTTAAAACATGAAGCCACCCATTCTTAACTGCCGTCGTACTTTTGTGGAGTGACATTTAACATCTTCACTGGTGGACACTATATAGCTGGATAAAATGTCTCAAAGAACCGGTGAATGCAATAGAACAAATTCAGTGGATGTTCACTAAACAACCCACAACGAAAAGACACACGTCTTTGCAGAACAGTACTGACGTTAACCAAACACCATTGTGTCAAACAATTGTTTTGATACTCAAGGGCCCATAGAAGCCGGACATGTACAATGTGACCTAACTGTATGTCGGAGTAAGACGCAATGGTTTGTTGATGTCACTCAGTTCTGGTGTTCACGGTTGTATTCCATTGATTGAGACTCCCTGTACTTAGTCTAGTGTATCTCTTCTTGTTTCAGACAAGTATAGACGTAATGGCGTGCAACTGTACACATCCGGGAAAAATTCATCTGAACCCACAGAAGGAAATCTATGCCACACTGTAACAGGGCGTCGTGACGGTACAGGCATCGGTGATGTACTAAATGTGACCTGTCTTGGGACCTGGCGCTACCTGACAGTCTACACAGAGACTGATAATGATGGTTATGGCGCCATATTAGACTTTGATGAGGTGCAGGTGTGGAGTAAGTATAAATGAATGTTGAAGAAACTTTTCTGCGGACATACTTATATATTTGACACTTAAAAATAAACTAACTGCTAATATCTTATCCGCTCTGTAATTATATAGCACGCTTTTCAATTATGTTCTTTTGGTCTTAGTATTTATCATTTCCCCCATTTCTATGTGAAGTTAGAAACTATACTCAAACAGTATCACACCTTATGGTTTGAACATGATGGGCTAATTCTTGTGGTGCCATATTGGACTTTGCGGAAGTGCAGGCGTGGAGTAAGTATTCCCTTGTGCGTGAAGTAATGAATATATTAACGACTGCAGAACATTTTACAATATTGTGACATTTGAAAATGAAATAACTTTTAATACATGTGTCTACTCTGAAATGATATAGCATGCCTTTCAGTTCCGTTGGTTTCATGTAAGTATTTCTTTTCCTCACCTTTATATTTAACGTTGGAAAGTATATACAAGCAGTATCACACGGATGACTTGAACATAAGCTGGTGCCACGGAGTATATACAGAAAACAATTACAGTCATTTGCAAAACAAAAATGAGTTATATATTATACAATTATATAGAGTGTACAATGTAGTCACCGCAAGTTTTGGTGCGGTTCAATACCAAACTCGTCATTATCTTTTTATAATATTTACATTAGACACTAATGATTTTACCTTGCTTCCAGATCGCATAGATGAATTACATTTTCTCCTGGGGTGGAATGCAAAATATACTAATATTCGAGAAAGTGGTTGGGTGGATCATCTGAAATCGGAGGCGACATGGCAAGGGCAATAGCTGTATTATACGACATCTGCGGTAACGTTATGTATGCAACGTATCTAATATAAAACAAAATGTGATGAGTGAGATACTGAAACAGCATTATCAGTGATTCGACTTTCAAAAGGAGCAAACTCAAAATACAGCTTGCGCTGTTAAGTTTTGTAAAATGTAGCTCCGAGAAAGGGATGGAATGGGTCGTCCGCCACTCGAATCATCATTTAAAGTGCACAGGCTATTCCATCAAAACGAACGGCAGTATTGTTAGGCGTATTTGTCAATGTTGCTGAGTTGGTGATTTCTTACCAGCTGTTTACTGGAGCTCTAGTGGAAGTACCTTCTTCCTCGAATCATTGAATCATTGAATCACAGAGTATCAAGGGAATATGTACCCTTGCTTTAACAAATGTCATGTTTTGTGCTTTGCAAATGAAGGAAAATATTCTAAAAGTAATATGAAGCATCACTTTACTTATTTTAACTTAACTTAACATAACAACTTAATGGTGTTGAGGACTTACCCAGGGATGAAACTCTATGACCCATGTGCATATAGTATGTAAAACAAAATGGTTATACCAAAGACATCCGTAACAAAAGGTGTAACAATAACTACCATCACACACGTTTCAAGTCATAATGTTTATCAAATATGTAGACACACTTATATATACTTGTGATCCTAAATGTAATACAGGATAAGGTAAATGTTATGTGGTGTAACTAAGTATTTACACGGCTTCGTGGGGCGATGATTACATATGAAATCACCATAGAACGTGAAGGTAGGGAAGAAGGTGATTCTCGTGATACCTTGACTTGTCACGAGATTTCTCGAGTTTCAAATTGATCAATCAGCTCTCATAAGCCAACGAGAGAACAGCATTATCGACTTTTACGGTGCCGGTTTCTGAATGACGCTTACGCCACACTGACTTTCTTTTGACAATGTTCTCAACTGAAAGTGAAATAAAACATTAAAACGTTTTGATAAATGGAGGCTTCTAATAAAGTCAAGCATGCAATTAGTATTTTGTAAATGTAAATTGCCAGTGCAAGTGAATACTTCAGAAACTGATTCCATTTGGTGTAAAGGGAACAACCCTTACAATATTATATGAGGTTAACACTGCAGACATGTTATGAAAGCAGGAATTCGCAAAAAACAATTAGATTTTTTTCTGCCCCAGCGACCGCACCCACCATTCACAGGACTTTACAGTACTACATCACACAGCAACACGACTGCCATGTGACAACGGCTTGTAAACTACCCACATAATCAAAAGATCATTGAACAAGAAAGATGTTAATATTACGTTAGAAAACACGCGACATTTCTCTTCACATTGATTTTGATAAAAAACATGACCCAGGCTTTTGTTTCCAGCCTTTCGATGTTGCCGGATTCGTTGTATTGAGCCCTAAGGTCTCTTTACATGTTATATTGCATAGTTACCACATGGTTTTACGTGTATGACTTTGTTGTGTTTACTGAGTAGCATTCAACCCCGACAAATGACTTAAACAATGATGATTATTAACATGTATTTAAAGACGTTCATTGACACCATAATCTTGCTGTCATGATTTATAGACTTCATTTTGGAGAAACTTGGACTCACTGTCACTGTGCAATCCAGACCGGTTTGACTCAAACAATCCACTGATAAAAATCAGATATCCTGTCCACGAATGTCTTTACAACACATTCGGTTGTACAGTTGTTAGTGTCAAGTACTGATGTCCAAATAGCAAAAAATACGTAAAATTGCACTTATTCCAACATGTCTTGTGGGCATGTATGGAGTCAACTGTAACAAGGCCTGTAACTCCCGCCACTGCTACGGTTCAACCGAGTCATGTGATTCAGTCACCGGGGCGTGTTCAAGTGGACAGTGCCAGACAGGATGGACAGGAACTGACTGTGCAGGTGAGTGTTTTGATAAATCCGATGTATACTGAGTCAAAAAAGAAACTTCACATTCTTTCTTCCGGGAACTATAAAAGAACAAGAGATGGTAAGATGGTTAAATTGTTATTATTTCAGTGCTGAGATCTGTGTGATGTACTCGATACACTGACAGTGCCATAATCAGTTCCATTAGGCTACAGCGCCGTTCCAAAACATGGGTATACAGAATGTCAAGTCACAAGAACAAAAATGCGAAATTTCTCAGTTCAATATCGTGTATGGCCGCCCCGTGCATTCACCACTGCCAAACACCGTCTCCTCATCGACTGCCTGATGCTTGTGAACACGTGGTTGGAGATTCAGCGCCATTGCTCTTGCAAGGCAGTGCCAAGTTCCTGCAAATTCTGAGGTTGGTTCCTAAGACCACGAAGCCTTCTCCCAAGTACATCCCAAACGTGCTCTATTGGATTAAGGTCAGGGGACCTCGATTGCCAGTCCATGACGTTGATTCCAGCGTTTTGAAGGAAATTTTGTGTCAACATCGCGGTATGCGGCCGAACATTATCATGCTGGAACTGTAGACCTGGGCCATGAGCCGCCATGAAAGGAACGAGTTCAGGGATGGGCAGCAGCTGTGAGGTTTCCATGGATGACCAGAAGTCGGGAACGGTTGTTCCCACAGAAAGCACCCCACACCATACAACTTCCGCCCCCGAATCTGTCGACTTCCTGTACACAACATTGGGCATACCGCTCACGACGTCGTCTCCAGACTCTGTGCCTGCCGTCCGCGAATCTGAGGGTACACCTGGATTCATCGCTTAAGACGACTCGATTCCAGTCTCTCTGGGTCCATCGGAGGTGACGCTGGGCCCACAGCTGACTTTGACGTTGATGAAACGGCGTCAATATTGGTCCACGATATGGACGTCGAGAATGGAGATTGGCAGCCCGCATCCGATTTCGAATGGTCTGTGGGGACAGTCGACCTCTAAACATCTCAGCCCTGGTTCGTGTAGCCGGCAGAAATCTGTCACGTAGGTGACGTTGGACGATTTGACGGTCTTCTGCTCGTGACGTCACACGTGGACGACCCTACCTTGGGCGATCAGAAGTGGAGCCAGTTTGTTGTAGACGACCTCGCAAGTCATACACAGTACGACGGCTGCATCCCGTTGCTCTTGCGACGAAAATAACTGATCTTCCCGCTTGCAACATGCCAACGGCACGTTCACGTTGCACATTTGACAAACGTTGCATTTCATGTACGTTAGAACTGTGGTTTAAAAGTGTTTTTTTCAATTCTTGAGGCCAATGCAAACACGTGCATATGAAGGAAACTTCGATGCGAAGATCACGTGATCGACTGCACGTGCAAAACCTGATTTGGCACTAACGTCATTTGCATGACGAATGGATGGGTTTGAGTGAGTTTTGCTAACGTTTTTCAAGAGTCGAAAGATAGGGATCCCATTTCGGATACATAGATGTATCATTGGAGAAAAAGTATTCATTATTTTTCAAATTACATTTTGTGAAGTTTCTTTTTTGACTCAGTATATATTGCATCTGATGTTTTGACTTTAGATTGACCTCAAAAGGATAATGCAGCATGTAGATAATGGCGCCCTTGCCAAGGTGGATGAAAGTATACTGGCTCAAAGGCTTATATTTATGACGAACCGGTCATTGTACAGATGTAGAAAACATTTTTACACAACGTATTCCTGCACATATCCATCTAATGCTTATGTTATTGTTTGCAGTTATTTCGAACAAATATACCTCATCTCAATTTCACCTTCTAATAGAAAGGAGCCACAGCCTTTGTGTTCAAATGCTCTGTCTTGGGAGATTTCAAAGTGCGTCAAGAGTAGAGACAAAACCTGACTCATCAGTGAAAGACCTTTGTACGTGTTTATTTCAGGGCCATCGTTGAGGCAGGATATGCTATCGATATTGATGATATTTACAAGTGTATCATGAGGCCTTTATCTCGTTTTTGTATTGACGTAAACGGTGTCACACACAAATCTTACATGGAAATCCATGTGTCCATCAAACACAGCGTGAGTGAGTTAAAATTTTAAGTCATATCGGCAGTATTTCAAGTATATCAAGTTATATAATAATTTTAATTAAATTATACCATAAAAAACTGTTGACGAAGGACAGTAAAACAACTAATTGATCACAGATGGAATGTAAAAACAGGTAATTAAATAAAAAACATTTTATCTATACAGGCCAACAGAAGGTAGATCACCATACTAGGGACCAGGGGGACTTACAGTACATTTGCTTCCTACATGGACCCTAGCTGGATTTACACCATCCCTTCAGCTATTAGCAATTTTAGATAATCTAGCCGTCAATTGAAATAACATATATGCTACGATTAAAAACAGTAGTAGGTTTAAATTAACTTTGAATGTTTAGGGACTTACGAATCTTCTCAGGAGGACAATAATTTTACAATACCTCAACCCCTTTTGCGTGTACAGCCACTAACAATCTCAGTTACTAATCTAAACTTCTCTTTCTCTAAAGATATAAATAAACTGCTATTTTCACACCTTGTTCAGCCACATATTCATAAAGTCATATGTACAAGGAAGTTATTTAACATGTAAAACTTTTCCACAGCTACCATAACAGTGCAACCTCAATAGCTTTTCTTTATATTTGTGGAACCTGGAAACCTAGGCCAATACTTTATCACCCTGTTTGATGTACTAACATGCAGCGGTAATCTTCCACATTCACCCACGACATGTTCACCTGGTTCTACAGACCAAACAGATAGTCGGGAAATTCCACAACATCATTAGTGCACAGCAGCACTAAATATAGCCAGAGTAAAACCGGTATCAGTTAGATACCATGTGTACCTTACTTCATATTTGTATCTAGCTCATTGATTTACAGCTAAAATCCATGGTTCCACTCAACAAACACGTGGCATAGTGTGTTAAGCCGTCAGAAAATGGAAATATTTTTACTGTACATTATTTTTTCTGACACAAGCGGCATAAGTGTACAAGATTTCCCAGAGACAGATACCTGCAATTACTTGAGTCACTCTATACTGATTTTGAAACAGGGATGATAACAGACTTTGACCATGCGTTATCCCTTTGTGACTTTCTTAGAGTGAATTGTTCTCCATATCGTACTCGGTGTGTGCCTCTGGACAGTACGGTGCCAACTGTGCCAAAGACTGCAGCTCCCGACATTGCAAGACGTCTTCCCCGAAATGTGACCGAATCAGTGGAGCCTGTCCAACTGGTGGATGTGATGCTGGATGGATGGGAACAGACTGTAGTACAGGTAATACGTTGACATTTCAGTAGGAGTCGATTCCCAAAAGGAGATATTTCTTACCCTGTCATTCTACCGTTATACCATCTACGGAATTATGCCCGTGGATAACACCAATAACAATTTCAGCAGTGGTTAGACTGTGAGAAACGCGACTGGAATGAATAGCACATTGGAACAGATTTTGGAAATAAATATTAAAAAAATACATTGTCGTGGCGAAATTGGAAAAAAATGGGTATATATATGTGTCTTCTAGGTTTGAGGACATCCCTGGTCAAATATTTCGGTGGTCATGTCTGAATGTGTACAATAACTGCCTCATAAAATCAGAGGAATCTGGCAACATGGATCTTATGTCACTTGAGGTGTAGTCCTCACAGTCACAGACTGTTAAAAATAACCCAAGCAGATCCATTATTCTTTAAGCAATTGTTATTTTTCATCACACCATGATTACTTGTCGGTCTGCTCATGATCAGATTAGAAAAAAATCGCTGTACCTGAATAATTCTAATTTGAACGGCATAAGATCGGATTCAGACCTTGCCACAACTGTAAAATCATAATTTTTCGATAGAAGAAAATGATATTTTTTAGACTCATAAGGCCCTGTACATAGTTTAAATTGATATTGAAGGACACGTACAAGTTACACCTTTCCATTATAGACATCCACAATTATATATTCACAATGTTGACAGTGCTGTAAGTATTAAATGTTTTACAGTTTACTGACTTGCAGTGTCTACATGCAGTGTGCCTTCACAGTGATCAGATGATTATATCAGTCATGACAAGGCCGTATTCTTACATGACACAAGATCTTCAGGATATCCGCAGTTCATTTTCATGACCTATTTTCCTAAGATCGATATTTTCGCGATATGTTTGATCAACAATCCAGTCATCCCACCTTTAGTTAAAACATATATTTAAATATTCCACTCATGCGGCGTATCTATTAATTCGGGGTTTGGGCTCATGATTACCACACAAAGCAGGTCTAAAACAATGAAAATGATTGTAGGTTTGAAAAGGGGTATTGATGAATCAAACCTAACTTGATGTGAGTTCATTTGGGGCGTCTAGCCGTACAAACTCGTCTCATATTTTGAATCCTATAACCTGTCCTGACATACATTTGAATATGACACTTCTGTATACTAGAATGCGCCTCCGGTTATTATGGAGCTAACTGTGGAAAAAACTGCACTCTTCGCCACTGCAAGGGGGACTCCAGCTGTGATAGGATACAAGGGTTGTGTAAAGGTGGATGTGCGGCTGGGTATGACGGAACAGATTGTACTGAAGGTATTTTTTCACATAAGCAGCGATGTTTGTTGATATATACGTTGGTAGCACCATAGCAACCTGTCTCTTGCCAAATAGATCGATTTGTGATGACGTTTTCTTCCAGAATGATTGGCAAATCATTATAAAATGTAATGTTCACAAGAAAGAAACGCATGGGCCAGAAATCTGTTGCGAAAATGTTCTATTTTCAAAGATGTATAACTCGTCCACAAATATGCTTTAGTGCATGATTTTTTACACCCGTTTAGAAGAAGGTAATGTCTAGACAACCAAGTGGATACTTTTAGATAACGGAGACGTTGAGCGTGATGGTGACGACGTAGCACGGTCCCGACGTCGGGTCTCCTGGCTCTCAGACCAATCTCATCCTCCGAAGTCCAGGCAACCCGGCTGCTGTGCTCTACACCTGTGGCAGTACGATCAAGCAAATGTAGCACCCGGATGTACCGATCTTGGGCTGCAGTGGTGACTCGAAGTCTGCCTGTACGGGGACGGACATTTGTTACACCTGTTTGGTTGTAACGAGCTGCAAGCCGTGATATCGTGCTTCAGAGGATCGGTAATCTGCAGCGTGTATTCTTTCAATGGCGATGTTCCGTGTCGCAGAGTCAAGACGAGGCGTGGTGATTTGATCTTGAACTCCTTCAAAACGAATGCCAATTTCCGAAATAAATCTGTAATTCTATTGCCAGACAGTGCATGCTCTTTGCTGCACAATTTCAAGTGGAAGGTGATTTCTGTTACGTTCTGGCGATGCCTTTTTAATCCTTGTAAGAAATCTCCTCAAAATCAACATTTTCAGGTAAAATCGATTTTTTTACTTGTGCAGTTGTGTAAAATCATGTTATCAACACTTTCGTTACATATTTTGAGGATTGTTTGAATACAATAGGTAATTAATATAGATTTTTATATACAGATCGCCTATGCGTTTCTTTTTGGGGATAGTATATGTTATAATATCAATCATCTCTGTTCAAAAACTACGTTTCGTTTGTTTGCTAGTTTGTTGTTCAGCGCCGCGCGCAGCAGTATTCCAGCTATATAGCGGCGGTCTGTAAATAATCGAGTTTGGACCATACAATTCAGTGATCAACATCACGGGCTCTCGCAATTGTGATACGATGACATGTGTCAAACAAGTCTGACCACCCGATCGCGTTAGTAGCCTCGACAAACATGGGTTGCACAAAGATCATCCGTATCATTACGGGTTTACAAATGTCTTTTGACACTTACACCAACTCCACTTCCACTTCAGCGTGTACCAGTCAGATGTACGGTCCTAACTGTGTCAGTTCCTGCAGTGCTCGACATTGTAAAACAAACTCATCTACATGTGACGGAGCGTCAGGAGAGTGTCTTGGTGGCTGCGAAGATGGGTGGACAGAAATAGACTGCTCCAGTAGTAAGTTACACAGCGCCATTGGTTTGTATTACCTGTTGATTATGTGACGTATTGGTTAAACAGAATTTGAACTTGTTCAAGTAAATTATATAGCATTCACCTTTTCAATTTGATTCTTGATTGCTCCATTATAACGTTGCAAACGTAAAAGGTAGAAGCCTCTAAAAGTAGTATACCATAATGGTGTCATCTGTCCTAAACTGCAAGTTAGATGCACGTATGTACAGGTTTAGTTTAATATTCTTCCCGACAGGCTCTCGTATTATTCACGCTTGCATATCAGGTGTAAGTGTATGTCCTGCAGTCGGACGACAGAATTGGACAGCTTACCTTCAGCACTAACATGGTTTGAAGATCAACAATAAATAGCGATGTTAAAAGGGTATATTAATTTAGTAGCATGAATTAATTTATTTTAGAACAATGTACAGTATATAATAACGCAAAGTGGAAACTATTCAGATAAGTTGTCAAAACTCTGAAATTTGTTTCGAATATTACAGAAATAAGATTATCACCCTGAACTGTTAGACTTAAAGTATATTTCCAATCCGTATTGGTTCCAATAAAAGAAATCACATAATTAACAATGAGCGCACTGCGAGTATATTCAACAGATTATCTGTAACAGAAAAAGAAATATCTGACGTAATATATTGTTTTCAAATACGTAAGGCATCAATTTCATACAGAGAGAGTCATAACAGAACAGTAAACAGCACCACTAATGTTTTATGTATATTGTTCAATACATTGTTACACAACCAATAGGCTAACTATCCGCCCCCAAGGAAATAATGAACATACTGACACGTATTCATATCAACATGAATTTAACGATTAACTGTGACAGATTATTTTAACTCTTTAGCTTTGTATTCAGTTGAACAAGTAAGAAAGTAAGTATTGCTTGCCGTCAAACTATTAATTTGCAGCTATTCCTTTATAGTAGAAGTGATGTTGAACATCACTAAAATCTCAGTCAAGTATCACATGAAAGGGTAAAAACGTCCTGAAGATAAAAGTCTGCATTTTGTCAAATAGTTTGACTTCGTTTCAATATGTTAAAATCAGGTGGTTAGAAACTGTTCTAGTGAGTGAGTAAGTTAATATTTAACGTCACATCGGCAATATTTCAGCCATATCGTGACGAGAACATTTTACATTGTAATGGAATATGTATATATTATAAAACCTGTCATCGAAGGACAGTAAAACAACTAGAATATCACAATTAGATTTAAAACTAGTGTGGAAAGTTAAAACTAATAGCACTATTAGGACAATACAAGATAAAAACAGGCTATAGATCGCCAACAACTGAAGGTCGATCACCATACTAGGGACCATGGGGACTTACAGTACCTTGGCTACCTGCATGGACCCTAGTTGGATTTACACCATCCCTTCAGCTGCTGGCGATTGTAATGTTAGCTACAATTAAAATGACAAAAATGCTACGTTTAAAAATCCTGGTAAGTTTAAATTGACTTTCGAAGTTTTGGGACTTACGTACCCTCTCAGGGGGACAATAATTTTACAATACTTCAACCCCCCTTGAGAGTACAGCCACTAACAATCTAAGTTACTAATCAAACTACCAATCATTAAAAACACAGCTATATACATAATATATTAATCAAAATTCATTAATGAAATCAATTTCTTTTAGAAAACCAAGAATTAAATGAAGATGAACAGAATAAAAAAGATCCTTAACAGTTTTAACATTGAAATATTTATCCCTTATGATGGGGAATTCAACAGGAGATGCTTGACTGACTCTCTCATCACAAGGGATACAAAACGGAGGATCTTCACCATTTAACAAATATTTGTGAGTGTACCTTGTATGGCCAATACGACATCGTCGCATGATGACCTCTTCAAACCTGAACTGACAACCCAAGTAAGTGTAACCGATATAGGGTTTTATTTCATGTAATTTATTGATACCTACTTGGGTGTCCCACTTCTTCTGCATCAGATCACGGATGTAGGTTCTAATGCAAGCTTTGTATTCAGAGTAAGGAATAAGAAGTGGTGTCACAGATTTGTTGAGTGCTGCCTTGGCAGCAAGATCGGCCATCGTGTTCCCAGAAATGCCAACGTGGCTGGGTAAACTACAAAAGACGATGTCGCATTGGCCAGTGGCAAGTTGATTGTACAATTCAATAATTTCTAATAAAAGTGGATGTTTACAAGAAATATTTTTAATAGCCTGAAGACACGAAAGAGAATCGGAAAAGATTATGTACTGTTTATGTTTAGGATGTCGTTGAATATATTTAAGAGCCGTTAATAAGGCGTTTGCTTCTCCTGTAAAAATGGAGCTGTTATCTGGTATTCTAGAAGATATTGTTCTGGATCCAATGACAGTGGCACATGACACCGCGCCACCGTCCTTGGACCCATCTGTAAATAAGGATTTGTAAATATTATATTTAGTTTTTAGTTGATTATATTCTTGTTTATATTGTAATTCATTAGTTTCAGATTTCTTAAACTTTGTCAGAGTTAGGTCAACTTCAGGCCTAACCAGCTGCCAAGGAGGAGAAGAAAGAAGACGGGAAGGAGCTATATTCTCCAGCTCAATGCCAGCAGCAGAAAGGAATGGTTTAATTCTGTGCCCAAGAGGCGGAACAAGAGAAGACTTTTTGCTGTATAAATCCTCATAAAGAGGATTGAAAACACAGTTAAATGCAGGATTAGACTCGTTAGAATAGAGTTTTCTTATATACTGTAATGATAATTTAATACGACGTTGGTTAAGGGATGGCTCATCAGCCTCAACATAGAGACTTTCAATAGGAGAGGTTCTAAAGGACCCAAGACAAAGTCTCAGGCCGTGGTGATGGACAGAATCAAGTAGTTTTAGGTTGCTTTTGCAGGCTCCACCATATACGATGGAGCCATAATCAAGTTTCGAGCGGACCAATGATCGATATAGGTGGAGGAGGGTAGTTTGATCCCTCCCCACTTTGAGTTGGAAACAACTTTCAACAAATCAAGGGCCTTCAGGCATTTAGCTTTAAGGATTTAATGTGCGGCAAAAGGTTAAATGGGAGTCAAAAATTAGACCCAAGAACTTGGCCTCCTTCACAACTTTTGATGGAGTGCCATTTAAAGATAGTTCTGGGTCTTCATGCTGCTTATATTTTCTACAAAAGTGTAGACAATTAGTTTTGGACTTGGAAAATGTAAAGCCGTTCTCAAGACACCATTTATTTATTTTATTTAAACACAACTGCAATTGCCGTTCAAAAGTATGCATATTTTTACCACGACAAGAAATATTTAAATCATCCACAAAAAGTGATCCATCGATTGAATCGTTTAAAACCTTGGATAAACTGTTGATCTTGATACTAAATAAAGTGACAGACAAAATACTGCCTTGAGGGACACCCTGATCCTGATTATAATGATCAGACAGGGTTGAATCCACTCGGACTTGAAATTGTCTGTCTTTTAAAAACTGTGTTATAAAGAGAGGCAAACGGCCTCTTAAACCGAAATCATGTAAATCTTTCAAAATGCCATGCTTCCAGGTCGTATCATAAGCTTTCTCAAGATCAAAGAAAATTGATACAGCATGTTGTTTATTTACTATAGCATTCTTAACAAAGGATTCTAAGCGTACCAAATGATCAATGGTACTACGATTTTTCCTGAAACCACATTGAATATCGGATATAAGGTTATTGGTTTCAAGATACCATGTTAATCTATTATTCACCATACGTTCCATGGTTTTACAGACACAGCTAGTTAAAGATATTGGTCTGTAATTCGACGGATCTGTATGATCCTTACCAGGTTTTGGAATAGGGACTACAATGGCATTACGCCACGAGGGAGGAAAATTTCCGGACGTCCATATTTTGTCAAATAAGTCTAAAAGTGTGACAAGACATGGCTCAGGCAAGTGTTTCAGTAGCTGATAATGAATGTTGTCATCACCCGCTGCAGTGTCATGAGCTTGCTCTCAAGAGCTGTATATAGCTCATGTAATGAAAACAGTTCATTATAGTCTTCACCATTATTTGATTCAAAATTAAGTTTTTTCTTTTCCTGTTGTTTCTGATATCTCTGAAACCCAGGGACATAATTTGCCGATGAAGAATTTTTGGCAAGAGTTTCGCTAATTTTATCTGCAGTTTGAGATTTGTCAGTAATTAAATTATTACCATCTTTAAGATGGTGAACAGAAGATTTTGAACCTTTCCCTTTAATTCTTTGAACCATGTTCCATACCTTGGGCATTGGCATTCGTGAGTTAATTTTGAAGACATAGTTCCTCCAAGATTGCCGTTTATTTTGTTTGAAGGTGCGACGTGCCTTTCCATTCAGTATTTTAAATTTATTCAAGTTGTGGACAGTTGGGTAATGGCGGAAATATTTCTCTGCCATTTTCCTCGCTTTTCTAGCATTTTTACAGTCTGCATTAAACCATGGCTTTCGTACATGTGAGGTTGTAGAGGACTTTGGTATACACTCATCAGCTATTACATTTAAAACGCCAGAAAATACCTGAATAGGATCAGCAATATCACTGAAACATTCGGGTCTTAGTTTCGATGTGCATAAAGTTTGAAATAAGGGCCAGTCTGCCTTCGAAAAATTCCATCTTGTAGAAGATGGAGAATCAGTTGGAGAAGTTTCTGATAGTATCGCTGGAAAGTGATCACTTCCACAGAGGTCGTTGTGTACTGACCAATCAAATTCATAAAGTAGATTTGAGTCTGCAAGAGACAAGTCCAGAGAAGTGTAGGTGCCTGTCGCAGGATGCAGGTACGTGCTTGAATCATCATTGAATATGCACATGTCATTATTTGAGATAAAATCTTCCAGTATCTTACCTTTAGTGTTAGTATTTGTACCGCCCCAGAGTGGATTATGGCCATTAAGATCACCCATTATAATGCAGGGTTTCGGAAGTTGATCACAGAGAGCTTGAAGATCAGTCTGGCGAAGTGTTGAAGAAGGCGGAATATACAGAGAGCATAATGTAAAGACAACATGAAGTGTAAGTCTCACTGCAACGGCTTGAAGATTAGTTGTAAGTGGGACAGGGCTGTGAATAATATTCTGCTTAACAAGGATTGATGATCCACAAGTGGCTCTATCACCCGGAGGTGAGAAGGAATGATATGCAACGTACTGACGCAGATTAAAAGTATCTGTCTGTTTCAGATGGGTTTCCTGCAGACAGAAAGATGATGGTGCCAGATCTTGGACTAATAGATGTAACTCATTTAAATTAGTTCTTAATCCTCTACAATTCCACTGTATTATATTTCTGGAAGACATTATCTTTTTGGTGGGTTGATTGGGGATCTACCCCGCACTTTCTTGGAGGGCGAGGAGCTATGTGCCTGAGGATGGATGTTATCAGACACATCCATATCTTCTAATAGCCCAAACTTATTACATAATTTGATCTTGTCTGACCCCTTAGGGTGAGTGAGTGAGTGAGTTATTATTTAACGTCACATCGGCAATATTTCAACCATATCGTGACGAGAACATTTGATTTTGAAATAAAATATATGTATATTATAAAACACCTGCCGACGAAGGACAGTAAAACAACTAGAGTATCACAGATATACATGTAAAACTAGTAATTGAATCTAAAACATTTTAACTATAGGGGACAACACAATATAAAAATGGGCTATAGATCGCCACCAACTGAAGGTAGATCACCATGCTAGGAGCCATGGGGACTTACATTACTTTTGCTACCTGCATGGATCCTAGCTGGATTTACACCATCCCTTCAGCCGCTGGCGATTATAGGAAAATTTAACCAACAGTTAAAATAACAAAAATACTACGTTTAAAATGTGATAATTTATATTTTACTTTGAAAGTTTTCGGACTTACGTACCCTCTCCGGAGGACAATAATTTTACGCTACGTCAACCCCCTTTGAGGGTACAGCCACTAACAATCTCAGTGACTAATTTAAATTACCAATAATAAAATATTTATCTATTTACAAATCAGTTAACAAATCTAATTCTTTTAAAAATTCAACTATTAAATGATAATTAACATTATAAAAAAGATCCTTCAATGTTTTGACATTAAAATACTTATCCCTTGTGATGGAATATTCAACACAGTCAAGCAGGACATGCTTGACCGTGATTCTTTCATCACAAGGGATACAAAACGGAGGATCCTCACCTTTCAATAGGTACTCATGAGTATATCTTGTGTGGCCAATACGACATCGTCGTATGATGACCTCTTCAAATCTGAACTGACAACCCAAGTAGGTGTAACCGATATAGGGTTTGATTGCATGTAATTTATTAATACCTACTTGGGTGTCCCACTTCTTTTGCATTAGATCGCGGATGTATGTTCTAATGTTGGCTTTATAATCAGAGTATGGGATAAGAAGTGGTGTCACAGATTTGTTGAGGGCTGCCTTAGCAGCAATATCAGCCATCGTGTTCCCAGAAATGCCAACGTGGCTGGGTAACCAACAAAAGACGATGTCGCATTGGCCAGTAGCAAGCTCATTTTACAATTCAATAATTTCTAATAAAAGTGGATGTTTGCAAGAAAGATTTTTTATAGCATGAAGACACGAAAGAGAATCTGAAAAGATGATATATTGTTTATATTTACGGTGTATATGAATATATTTAAGAGCTGTTAGTAGGGTAGTCTGGAAGATATTGTTTTGGACCCAATGACAGTGGCACAAGCAACCGCGCCACCATCCTTGGACCCATCTGTAAATAAGGATTTATATGTATTAT